GCAGGTCAGAGCTGGGGACCAGGGACTCCATGTGGGTCTTCTACCTGGGAGACAGGCCCATGTACTTGGGTCATCCTCTGCTGCTTTGCAGGGCTCAGAACTGGAGCAGCCAGGACTGAAGTCGGTGCTGCAATATGGGATGTCAGTATTGCAAGTGGTTGCCTAACTGGCTATGCTCAAAAAACTGGCCGCTATACCCATTCTAGGTGATTGTGGGTGATCTGGGAGAACTACAGTGTCAACGTTTGAGAAAAAGAGACCATTTTGCCAGGTTTAACCTCAGTAAAATGCCATTGTCATACAATGCAGAAGGAAATGATACATGGTTATTGGATTAACTCAGAGTTAATCACTGTCCATCATCTGGTGAAGCCCAGAGAGGAAGGGTGCTGCATGTCCAGCGAGATGAAAGCGGGCACCCCAACAGCAGGAAGACCTTCCCGGGAATGGTGATGCACCCTAGTGCAGCTCCAGGCATTCACAATCACATGTGTGTGAAATGGCAGCTCCACTTCACGCTTGCTTCTTCTTGCACCAGCAGGGCACTTCGCTTGTATCAGCTGAGAGGTGTTTCCAAATCAGCTGGACTGACAGGTACAAACCGAAAGCAAAATGTCCAGCCGCTGATACCATTAGGCTGCGGATGAGGTGCAGGGGAAGGGAAGGCAGGTGGATGGAGGCGATGCTTTCCTCTCTGGTGATACAGTGTCCACCTGTTTTCCCTCAAGTGTGGTTTTCTGCCAAATGTTCATGAGCTGGTTGGTCACATTGAAACCTTGAAGGTTCTGTGAGGGAGGGAATGGAGCCGTTGCTTTTGAGTATAATGTGTCTGGTTCCCTTTCTGGTTCTCAGTGGTGAGTGGTTTCCCGAGCACAAGATGATTCTTCTTTGGGTTTCTTAAAGTTATGACTGAAGGAAACTGCGGTAAGTGAGCAAGGGACAAAGAATCAAATGGACACAGATATGTCTAAATAGCTACTAAAAATAACGTATTGGTCATTTCTTTAAGGTGATGGCTGCTGTAAGTGACTCACGTAAAACCTTGTCTAGATCTTCAGGTGCTCCAAAAAGTCAGAGGGCAATTCTGATTGGGGTCACGAGACTGAGTTCACAGAGGTTCACCGGACCCCACATTTCATCTCCCATCTTTGCTTCCAACAAAGGGTGAGCAAGTGCAAGACTTCCCCCGCTCGGCTGGGCCAGTTCCCTACTGTCGTGTGAAGAACCCCGTGTGTCAGAGAAGCTTGTGAGCTAGGTGTGTTATTAGGCTTCTTGGATCTCCCGTTTGGTCCTCAGATACTATCCTCTTCTTCGTTTACATTAGCTACGTCACAGGCTACAACTTGCAGTTATAGAATCAGCAGGTGACATGACCACCAGGCAAGAGAAATTTGTTACGGAAAGGAGGCAGTCGGGGTGGGTTCAATGGTTCAACTAGCTCTAATCCTCCACTTAAAAGTGTCACTCGTTCAAGTCCTGGCTACTCCACTTGTGGTTCAGCTTACTGCCTGGGTCGTGGGAAGGCAGCAGAGTATAGTGCAAAGGCTTGGGGCTCTGCACCTGCATGGGAAACCCAGAAGAAGCTCCAGCCAGTGCGGCCACTGGGCAGTGAACCAGGGAATGGAAGAACTTTTTGCCTCTCCTCTGTTACTCTGATTTTCTAATCAAAATAAATAAATCTTATGGGCCCGGTGCGATGGCGTAGTGGCTAAAGTCCTCGCCTTGCATGCACCAGGATATCATATGGGCACCAGTTCTATTCCTGGTGACCCTGCTTCCAATCCAGTTCCCTGCTTGTGGCCTGGGAAAGCAGTCAAGGATGGCCCGAAGCCTTGGGACCCTGCAACCATGTGGCAGACCCGGAATAGCTCCTAACTCCTGGCTTAGGATTGGCTCAGCTCTAGCCGTTGCGGCCGCTTGGGGAGTGAGCCATTGGACGGAAGATCTTCCTCTCTGTATATCCATCTTTCTAATAAAAATAAAATAAATCTTAAAAAAAATCTTGAGAGAGAAATAATGCATTAGTCTGGGGAAATAATGCATTAGTCATCCAAGAGACGATGAAGATCATTTTTCACGACCTCCACAGTTCTACCAAGTGCACTTTAAATTTATTTGAAAACATTTTATTCATTTATTTGAAAAGCAGAGAGACATACAGATAATAGACAGGCAGATCTGCCAAGCACTGGCTTACCTCCCAAGTGCCTGCAACTGACGGGGATTGACCGGACGAAAGCCAGAAGCCAGGAAATCAGCCCAGGTCTCCCACATGGATGTCAGGGACCGGTGCACTTGATCTGTCACTGGATGATTCCCAGGACGCCCGTTAGCTGGAAACTCGGATCTGGAGTGGAGCTGGTTTCTAACACAGGGGCTTAGTTTGGAATGGGCACCTTAACTGCCCCACCCCCTTTAGCTTTAGAGCAGACTTGAAGGGCCTCATCAAGAACTTAGCACATCAGAAGTGAGTTCTTTACTGCCAGGGCCTTGGATTTGGCAGAAGACTTGCTGAAGCATTCCTGAGCTCATGAGACCAACAGTCCTTGTCCGCAGCGGCTTTTCTCCTCTTTTTTATTCTACTTACCTGTTCTCAAATTCACGGGGTGTTTTTTTGCCTTCCATTCTGCATTGCCCAGGTCTCTGATGACAATTTTAGCACCAGTGTGTGACATATTCAGATGTGTCAGTATATATGTAAAACCTGCTGTGTCCCATATCAACCATATTTTTTGATATAATACAGAGTATTTTACAATAAACATATTCACAGTGCCACTTCAAAAACAATTGAAAAGTAAGTGAAACGTGATGTTGTTTTATTTTGAATGGGTAATTCTTAAGAGACGATTTTATACAGAATAAGTTAATGCTTTTTCAACATGTGATTAAAATATAAAACTGGATAGGGAGGGCATGAAGCAATTAATGGATTGTGTAGGTCATCTGAAGTTCTATGAAGCAAACGTCACTGAATGTATCAAGCTATCAAAGGTGGTGCCTTAGCAGCTCAGACTGCGGAGAGAGTATGGTGTTTTCACGGGAGCTCTGAAAGCCATTCAAGAATCAGCCAATCAACAAACATTTATTTATTTATTTATTCTTTTTCTCATGGAATTTTCAATATGGCATTCCCCCCCAATTCTGAGATCTTATGAAATCTGTTCTGAAATTTCCTCCAAAGAAATCCCTAAGAGTTAGAAGGACATTTTCTAGATAATTCTGAGAATTTTTCTTCTAGGTAAGAAATATTCAGATAACAGATCAAAATGCTCTTAACAACAATAATAAAATAATAAAAATGTGGATAAACTCTAAACTAAGCAAAAATAGAAATACTACTTTACAAAATAATTTACACCATGTAACCAAGATGCCAGAAAAGTGTGCTTGTGGATAATCCCACAAGGACCTGAGGAATGAATTGTCAGGTAGTAGTGTATGTGGTGAATCATTTAGCCTGTCAGAGGTATAAAATGCTGAACAGTGTTTTGTTTGTTTGCAAACGTGTTTTTCAAAGTATCCCTTAAAGATCCTGCAGATTCCTTGTTGGTGATGTGATGTAGCAAGTCCAAGTGTTGGTCTCAGTTCTAGAGTGGCTGTTTCATTGATTCACTGCATTCCCTTTGTTCCTAAACCCTTTTCCTAGGCTGCTAGAACTAGAAACTAGCCAGTTGCATGAATTCATTTCCCTAACTGAACTGTGTCTATCTAATACAGTCCATAAGAGAATAAAAATACAGAAGTAGGCACCATTCAGTACTATTTACAAAAAGTGTTCTACAATGAGGGTTAGACTGGGCAAGAAAAAAACTCCGGTAGAATTTGAAAGTAGATACACAAGGAAGGACAGTGACATGCAGGGTTAAGATATGAAAATGGCAGGGGCGAAGAGCAATTGAAGGGAAGAAAGCAGTCGGAGAGGAAGGATTGATTTACAGGTTACACATTAGGAAGCAGAGCAGAAAGGCGGGAATAGAGGAGGATATAACAGAGAATGTACACACAAAGAGAACTAATAATAGTTAATAACTCTGATAGAATGTAAGAATTGGCAGACAGAAAAGGGAGAAAAGTGGAAAGCCAAATATAAGATGGTCTGAGGAGAAAGACAATAAGGAAGGATGGTAAGAAAGGAGAGACAAGAGAAGAAAAAAATGCCAAAATGGAATAAGAGCTAGGAACAAAACCTGACAAAGATCAACTCAAGAAAAACTGTACAGTGCATTAGAATGATCCCAGCATGAATTTCTTCATGTGCAAAATGGGACACTCATCTCTGAGTCTAGGAAAAGTCAGACAATGTTGTAAGTATGGAACTTTAGCAGAAAAAGCAGAAAAAAGAAACTAAACCAGGTAGGTGGTTTCTGTATTTCAAGCCATGAGTGGTCACAGCCTTCCAACCTTAGATGTGTGCTAATTTGTGATAGTGTTGGATATAGCTCCCCGCCCCAGGTCTAATCTCATTAACTTGAATTGGGTCATTACTTTTTTTTTTGAAAGCTTATTTATTTGAAAGAAATAATACCTCTCTCTCTCTCTCTCTCTCTCTCTCTCTCTCTCTCTCTCTCACACACACACACACACACACACACACAGAAAGGGAAGGCAAGAGAGGAGATAGAGCAATTCACTGATGTGTTCCCCCAAAGCCCACAACAGCTGGGATTGGGTCAGACCAAAGCCAAGAGTTAGACACTCTATCCAGGTCTCCAACATGAGTGGCAGGGAACTAAGTATTTGAGGCTATACATTAGCACGAAGCTGGGTCAGAAGCAGAGGCGGGACTCAATCCCAAGCACTCTGATATGGGATGCCAGCATCCCAAGTCTTAACTTAATCCACAATGTTTGCCCTAGTGTTGTTATTCCTACAGAGAGAAAAACTTAAAGGTCACTAGAAGGGTCAGATAATGAAGTCTTGGGAAAAATGTTTGGAAACCATTAGTATTGAATGTCTGTTATATTCATTTCCCCAAGAATGCTTGGTTGAGATAATCCCTATGCCTGAATCAATAAGCAGTCTTGTATCTGGTCCTGTGGATTGGTTCCTATTTGAAAGGACTCATATGAAGTGCGTTCATCTGCATTAGGTGAGTCTATATTTGTATGTTTAAATTGTTCCCCAGTAGGTAACCCAACAGATGTACCAGGACTTCCAGTAGGCATAATTAGATCCCCATCAATTCGGTCTTGTCTTCCACTGGTGGATGGAGCTCCAGTGCTGGCAGAGTGATGGTTTGCTAATTTGGAGCCAAAACATGGTACACGCAAGATGCTTGGGGATTCCTGTTGTTTCTCCTTGTCGTTTTCTTGGACTTCAGTCTTGATGCCTTCTGACTTGGGATCTTCATTAGGTGTGCTGATCACGAGCTGCTTAGGTGTAAGGGCAACCGTTATTTCATTGAGCTGATTGCCTTCAGACATTTGTCCCACAACATTGCCCCCATCTTCTCCCAGGTCATTTTTGAGACAAGGTGTATTCTTGGACTGAGGGGAACTGGCTTCAGGAACAGATGTAATTTCCAGTTGGCCCAGTTGGTTCTTCAGAGAACATCGAGTGCTCCTTCTCAGAGTGGACACATCAGCTCTGAACGAATTTGGGTTTTGGCTCTCTCCAGGCAGTCTGTTCTCAGAACTGTTTCTTTGGCCAGGTAGGGTGCTTGCTGGGGAGACAATAAAACTGGGGTGATTGGTATGACTACCTTCTGGATGCAGAGAAGTGCTGGGTTTCTCCTCTGGTGCAAGACCATGAGATGAAGTTGAGACTTGGAGGGACAGTGGATTGTCCTTGAGCACTGTGGAGCCTCCAGTACAGCAGGAACTGCCCTGGCTTTGGCGAAACATGTAGGTTTCTTTTTGACTTGATGGGTCACTTTGAGTGATTAAGTCTGGATAAGCCAAATATTCTCTCCCTGGTGAATTCAACCCAGCAATTTGCATGCCATAGTTCAAATGCTTGCCTTCATGCCAGGTTGGGTTTTTCTGAAGACTGGTTAGGGAATTACTGTAGTAGAGCTGAGTCTCCTTCAGGTTTGGTACAGTAGTTGAGACTTCATGTAAATTTGTTGCCTGATTCCAGAAGTTTCTGTTATAATATGGCTCTTTTTCTTTTTGACCTTGGGTTTGAATATTGTAGTCCCAGGAGTTCCATGAAGGAAAAACAGTACTTCCTTGTTGTCCAACACCATTGTTGGTATAACCCTTGGTGTTCACAGGTGGGGATACAGTGAAACCTGTATTATAGGAGAAATTCTCATCTGGATTCCATGGGTAGAACCCATTAGAGGGCAAATCCTCCCTGGGTTTTGATGGCCTATCTACAGGATAGGGGAGATACTGCTTTGGTTGATTGGAAGTGTGTTGCTTACCTTCATACTGCCTACCTGTTGGGGCTCTTTTCAAGCTTGACTCTTCCTCATCCCATGTACTTTGCCTTTGAAAAATTTCATCTCCAATTGGATCAATAGGGTCCTTTTCATTATAAGGAACAATCTTTTTCTGTTCTGGAGTATTCAACGGGGACTGTGGATGTTCTGGTTGCCGTATACTACTAGGAGAATCAACTATCTCACCCCAGGTGTTGCTACTTAGGTAAGGTGGATTTGCACTAGGATTATAGGGGCTGTATTCATGAAAGAAAACACTTCCTCTGGAGCCATGGGAAGGAGGAAGAGGAGGAGTAGGAGTAGGTAAACGTTCTTCCCACGTAGGAATTCCTTTAAAGGGTGGAGAGATATCTCGGTGATTCCATGTATTTCTTCCAGCAGGAAAATGTTCTCTGGTGGGAGCAGGGATCCCTTCAGGGTATAGAGGCTGATACGTTTTATACTTTAATTTTGGCTGACTAGTTTCTGGTGCATATGGAGTTATTTTTGGCTCTAAAATAATGCCATTGGGCAAATTCTGGTTTTGGATTTGTACACCAGAATTTGGAACTCTTCTGGAGTCTCCTGCTGGGGAATAAGGATTTTCTTGTTGACCAATAGAATTAAAGTTGGGGCCTGGTGTGTTGCCTATAGGGTGTGGCAGTTTATAATTGGGTTTATTCACTCCGCCATGAGGGTGAGAGTTCCTCCAGAGGCTGACTGTATCTTTTGTAGGAACAACAGTCCTTTCTTTCTGACCCACTTGCTTATCTGCTGGATTCTGTACTTTTTCACTGTAGCCAACACTACCTTGGTTGGGATCCAGTGGGACAATATTGGTTACCACAACATTTTTATTTGGCCCCTGAGGCCTTTTTCTAAAGTTTACTGGTTTTCCTGCATTATTAGTATAATAGCCTCTTGAAGTGGAAAGAAAAGTTTTGTGAGAAGTTGGATTTCCTGGATGTGTTGCTTGTTTGTTTTCCCAAGCAAAGGAATTCCATTGAGAATTCTTTTGAACTTGCTCATTTCGGTAAAAAGGCCCATTTGGTCTCTGGCCAACAGCAGTACCAGTGTGATGCCACTGTCTTCCTGAAGGGAAATTTCGGGTGTTGTGATTTGGGTAATTTTCATAAATATTTGGCTGACTTGGTCTCCATGGGAATTGACTTCTGGGTGCTCCCTGGCCTGAAGTATTAACTGTAGGGGATGGGTTGACTCCATTCTGAGCTGTTGGGTTATTCCCAGTGTTCTGTCCTGGGACACCATTTCCTGTTGGGCTGGTGTCATTCCCACCTGGTTGGGTAGAATTTGTCTCGTTTACTGTTGCATTTGCTGAGGGCTCTGTTGATGGACTCTCTGCTTTAGGAGGATCTTCTTCTTTGGGTTTTTCAATATCATCATACATTTCTTCTGAGTAATAAGGAGGGCGGCCCCCAAAGCCATGATATCCAAAATATCCAAAGTAAGGATTCTGCAGGAAAGAAGTTGGAAATCAATACTTACTCTTGGCTTCCCCCATGATGTTACCTGGGTTTCTTTTTTAAAAATATAATAGGGGAATTTGATGAATCACATGCTTCTTTTAGCACCATTGGTTATATATTTTCTCAAAACTCTACTCCTTTGAGAAGTGTACCTTCTTGGTTTGTGTGACTCTACTGCCTTTTGTTTTTCTTGTCTGGGAATTTGTTTCACTTCTACTTCTACTTTGTTTTACTTTCTACTTCTACTTTTGTCTTCCTAGGCTGGATCCTAAAAATGAAGCCTTCTTTAAGGAGGTCCATCCTCTGTTTTCATTTTTTTTGTTCTCATTTTACATACCTCCCTTGAATATCTTTTGCATGCTAATGCTTTTCATAGAGACAAATGCTTATGACCCCCAAAGATATGACTATTGCCCATGACACTCTTGTGGAAATGAGGTACCAAAACAGCTCCACTAAAGGCCTCATGAGTAGGTGCAGTTGAGAGCATCCAGGACTGGGCCCATGTCCCCTAAGCCCCTTCGTCTGATAACTTATGTCTAAGCAAATTTCATCAGTCTTCACTCAGTTTCCTAGGTTTCTGCTGTCCCCTTTATGTTCCTAGATAATTAGCTACCACTTCCTACGGAATCTAAGCTGTCATCCTTGTTCCCTTGGTGTTTATCCTTAGTACTAAACGATTTCAATAGTGTTCTGAATCTATTATTATTATTCTGAATCTTTCCTGGGTTTTGATGGATTATTAACTAGATCATCTCTCTACCAGATCTTTCACTCTTGCCTTTCCACTCCTATCACAGCAGTGGGGGCTGGGAGTAGATATGCGGGACTCCTGCCACTTTCCTCTTTAGTTTGTTTTTAAAGTTTCTCTTATCTTATTGGATAAACTCCAAACCCCTTAGCATGATCAAGCAATACATCTTGGTGCTGAACAGTGGGATACAAGAAAGATAGGGGTTAAAAATCCTTATGCTATTAGTATTAGGAGTGTGACTTCGGGTCAATCTACATATTCATTTGCAATATGGAGCTAATAAGAAAATAATATCAGCCCCCGTTGTGATGGGTCAGTGGCTAAATCCTTTCCTTGCATGTGCTGGGATCCCATGTGGGTGCCAGTTCACATCCTATCTGCTCTGCTTCCCATCCATCTCCCTGCTTGTTGCCTGGGAAAGCAGTAGAGGATGGGCCAAAGCCTTGGGACTCTGCACCTGTATGGAAGACCTGGAAAAAGCTCCTGGCTCCTGGCTTTGGATTAGCTCAACTCCAGCCTTTGCAGTCATTTGGGGAATGAACCATCAGATAGAAGATATTTCTCTCTGTCTCTCCTTCTCTGTAAATCTGCCTTTCCAATAAAAATAAAATAAATCTTAAAGAAAATAGTATCAACTTTACAGATTGTCATGAGGATGCAATGTATGATCAAAATGTAAAGCTCAATGGCTGGTACTTAGCAAGTGCCTAATTGTTACATATGACAGTGTTTAATAAGTATCTAGGTCAAAATAATTCTGTTCAGCCTTATTTATTCTCTCCTGTACTTTACATAAGTTGAAACAACAACTGTTAGTCTTCTGGAGATTCTCTTCATGCTTTAGTGCCTTTATACTCATGGCTTCTCTACATCTAATCTTCTCTGACCCATGTGTTTATGTCACATGGCAAACTTGATTTCTCTTCAGAACTCAGCTTGACTGCTACCTCTTTGTCCTGACCCATGTTGGCTAAAACTGGGCTCCACTGACAGCAGTACAGACTTTGGTCATAATCACCGTCCCACTGGACTTCAGTTTCATACTTCTCTGGGTTTTGCCCAGGGAAACTTTTTGAATGAAATTGTTAAGTTATTCACCATTGCTTTCCAGCACCTACCACAGTTGGAAGTGCTTAGCATATTTTCATGTAACAGATGACCTCATCATCATGAACTCTGTCACTTTGTTAGACATTTGTTAGGCATGCAGGTCATTTAGTTTTTTCTTTGAAAACAGGTACAATCGGGAGCAAAAATGTTTTCATCCCCAGTGGCAGATGAGATAAGTGAAGTGATCTCCAACATCAGTAAGGAAGTAAGGCAGTACCCCAAGAGGAAGAATTTAACTTCTTCATACCTGTGCCAAGTGCTTAGATTACTCTGCTTTCCTTTCTTACATTATGTTTGTGAAAATTTCTATGTTGCATACAGTTAGCTGAATCATTTTTATTTGGAGGTATTGCATAATGATATTTTTGAAGGCATCTTATATGATTAGTGATATATTTCAATGTCATTATTTAAAAAAAAAATTAGCACTGTCCACCTGCCAACCTATTGGGTCCCTGTATCTCACTGAAGACATACCACACATTTAGGAGGAAAGAGAGAGTAAGTTCTGAGGCTGGAGCACTGTGTCAGAGTCACTTAAGTGGCTGTTTTGGATGACAGTATCAGACTATATTCCAGGTGTATCATTTGGTGATATACACTTGATTCTTTTCATTGCTATATGAAAAAGGCAATTGGACAGGGTCTTTGAAGATGTGAGTTCTGAGTTCAGTTTATATCCACTAGCTCAATAAGTGAAATAGAATATTAATTTCCCTTTTCTGACTTTTAATTTATGTGAACAAGGGAGAGGTTAGATGATTATTTGGTTCCCCTCTGAGGAAAACCTGCTCACACTTCATTTTTCTACTTATCACTGTCTAGAGTCCAACATCAACCTTGATAAAGTGTCTTGGAGATTTCCATACATGTGGAGCAGGAGAAATGATGTAACAGATTGTATTTTAGGTCACTGTCTTTATTTTTCAATTTTTCTTTAATCTTGGGAGCTTGACTAAGAGTTTTATGTGTTAGGCTATAACCATCATATTAGATGTGGGTCGCAAAGAGGAAACCATTGGATTGTAGTTCCAGATGGGAATGCTGGTTACTTACCCCACCTTCTTCATTACTGAGGCGTCCATAACCTGGTGGTGGCGGTGGTGGCATCGGCGGTGGCATTGGTGGTGGCATCGGCGGTGGCATCCTCTGCAAGGCGAAAAACACAATGAACACAAGACAGTGCTTTGTATGTTTAAGTTGTTTTAAACTAGCTCAAACCAACGGCTGGGTAATTGCACTGTTGAAGCCTGTAAGTCATTAGCTTCACAATTCAAGTACTAAGAGTTATAATCCATTGGTCAATAAAGGTAAAAATAAAGATGCCAGCTGGTTCCTGGCTTATTCCATTCAAAATCCCTGGTGTGGCTGTAGGTCTAAGGGTCACCTCACCCCATCACCTCCAACACCCACCAGCACTTCTCCCCTCCTTGCCCTTCAACTTCATGCACAGACATGGTGATGGGGTAGGTGGTGGTGGTGGGGAAGGTGGGAGGAGAGAGAAATTTCAACATCATTGTAACAAAACCAACCACGTTAGGACATGTAACAATAGCGATTAAATAATATTACAAATGTTTCTTAAAAATTATTTTACTCCTCTATTTCTCTCTCTCTCTTTCTCTTTCACACACACACACACACACACACACACACACACACACACACTCCCATCTTCTGCTTCATTTTCCAAATGCCTGCATGCTGAAGTCACGAGCTGAAAACACAACCCAGGCGTCTTACACAGGTGACAGAACCAGCGACCTCAGTCCTCACTGATGCCTCCCACGGCCTGCATTAGCAGGAAGTTCCAGGGAGGCGCTACAGGCAGGTACTGGACCCAGGTACGTCATAGGAGACATGGGCATCATAACCAGTGTCTTAACTGCTGGCTAAATGTCCACATTTGTCTTTCATATCCTAATGTCTGTGGCCGACTTTCAGTTTTATAATTGATTGCAATAATTTTAAACATTAACAAGGTCTTTGGGAATTATTTTAAACATAATCTGAAGGGATTATTTATGATGATATATACATGGCTTTATTCAACAAGATATGTTAGAAGATCTTAGTCTAATCACAGCTCATCTCAGAATTTTCAAACTCCATTTTGTCCCAATCCTCATTGTGCTTTCTAATCTCTTAGGAAAGTGGAGAAATAGTAATAAATCAGTATAATCTTTTGACAATAATTTATTTACTAGGCTATTGGTAGCTTTTTGTGATGTAATCTGGGTTCCTGCCATAAATTAGTCTGTGTAAAAAATTCATTTGAAAATTCTTTACCTTTCTCCTACATAATGACTGATATGATTTTGTTATATATCCTCTATTGATTCATATATGGCATTCTATTAGTGTATTAACTGATATTAACTTAAGCTATCACATGCTAAGATTAACTTTTTTACTTCCAATGTAAAGAAAAAAATTCTCACAGGTGGGAATGGCCATGGTGGTTGTTGATAGGGAAATAATCCATTGTTGAAGGGTGGATATGCCTAGAGAGGAAGAATCAGAGTTTATGTGAAAGTGAGCAAAATAAATGAAAAACAAAATAAATAAACTAAATACAATTATTTGAATCTTATGTGGGCTATATTCCCTTTTGCATTAAACTTTGTTTAATGTATAATGATAAAAATGATAACAATAGTAGAATTTATAATGCTGAACACTCACATCCCAAGGACTGTGCTGAACATCTTATATAGTTAAATTCATTCAATACTCACATAATAGTAGAAGTTACATACTGCTATCATTCTCATTTTATCTAAGAATTTGAGGTTGAAAGAAGTTACATCACTTTCCCTAAATCTCAAGGCAGGGGAATGATTGAAACCAGGATCCCAACCTAGGAGTATATGACTATAATTTTTATCCAGTTTTGTGTTTTCTGCATCTATGATAGTGTCTGATAATGCACAGCTAAAACTCATTTACTTTTAAGGATCCACACAAGAAGAGATCTGGAGAAATCATTTGCAACTCTTGTTTCACATCAGGACTATACTTACGTTATCCTGAGATAGTAGAAGCAGTGCTAATTTCAGAGCAATGTTTTAGATCATAGATCTGCAAGGGACTTATAGATCATCTAGTTTAGTCTCCCGTATTGGGAGAAATGACTTGATGAAGATCATGTAAACAATACAAGCTGGGAATAGAACTTGAACCTTTGTTGGCTTTTAGACTAGTCCTCATGTGATTGTACCACTTTGACTCTGTATTTTAGAAGGAGATTCTTTGAGGCTAGGATGTTGGGTACTTTTGAGCCAAAGCTGGAATTGACTTTCCAGGCAGTTTGGATAAATGTCAAACTAAATATTGCATTGCTACATAATAGCAATATATGTTGTGAGGAAGTGTTAAGTGGGGGTTACCAATGATTCCTGAATCCCTTTGAATCCCTTGGTAACTTAGGTCATGTAAGCCTCACCTGAGTTGGCTGTGCTTCTTCTTTGGCTGGAGTTGGAGTAGTTGGCTGCTGCGCAGGGTCTTTTACTGGTGGCTTTTCTGCTGGAGGCTGGTTGGGGTTCTCGGTGTCTTGGGCTTGGTCAGTATTGCTCTGGCGTCGGAATCCTGCGGGTTTTGGTGGGGGCCACATGTTAGGTGGTGGCTGAGGCCACATAGGCATCTGGTATGGTGGGAACTGCTGAGGGAATGGGAAACCGTTTCCATAAGGGCCCATTGGTGGCATCTGGAGGAGGAGCACAAGGCACAGAAATTACATTAGAGGCTGGTTCCTGCCATCTTTTAGCATCAGTCTCCAAAGCTCAGCCCAAGAATTTAAATTTTTTATGGATTTGGAACACTTTAGTAATGGAAACTCCAAAATTTTTAGGCAGAGCTTCTTTCATTGTTGTCTTACAAAATGAAGCTTTACTCTTCTAGGAAACCAAATAACTAAATATAACTAAGAGGTAGAATTAGATGAAAAATTGCAGTTTAAGAATTTGATGGTGAGATCAAGAGCATTTCAGAACTATCAAAACCACCTGGGCAGAACTCTTGGAGCATATATCACATCGTCACCATAAGTTGATACCAGGTGGCCATTCCCCATCCCTGGGTACTGGGGCAGCTGGAGGCTGGGTATGGCTGGTCCCCTTACTTACTCCCTCCCCCTAGAAACAGAAAATTTGGAAACAATGACCACTCCCACTTTTCCCTAACCCTTGATCCTTTCCACCCTGATCAACTATGTAACATCACCCAAAATAAAATTTAAAAAATATATACACTGGTTTTCATTGATAGAAATCAGGTTTGACCTCAGTGAAAAGAAAAAAAAAACAAAAAAGAATTTGATTATTTTCTTATTCTGGAAATGTGACTCAGATATGCACAAGCCAGGTCACAGGGAATTTGATGTTAAATGCAAAACCCGGGTGACTTATTATCAAGCTGAAAAAGGAGAGAAAAGCCAAAAAAGAAAAAGATAAAATATAGAAAATAGAGGTTATACACAGCCCAAACAGCCTCAATCAAAATAGAGCAAAGAACAAGGGGAGCAATGGTAATTATAAATAAACGTTCTAATCTATGAATTGAACTCAGTGTGACAACATCACTCTTCATTTGAACATTTCTCTCCTGGTTTAATACCCCTCTCTTACCTCCACTCTTTATTAATCAGTCTCTTACTATTGAGTAGTGTACCTAGAATATAATGTAAATTTTTGGGGAGTTGATGGAATTAAAATTTTATATCTTAAGATTCAGGATTTTGTAAAAATTAAGTTGATAAAAATTTCAAATTACAGTTAATCATTAAAACCAAGAATGAGGGCTTAAAAGTTATGTCAGTAAGGAAGAAGAAATCGAAGATTATGATTTTTTTGTCATTCTTCTTTTTTCCTCCTTTATTTTTGACAATCTTTCCATAGATGATTAGGGCAAAAAGGGTCAAGGGCTACAGGAAAGTGGTTAAGATTATTGTTTCCACGTCATTGCTTTTGTTTTCTGTGTCTCGGGTAAAGTGGAAGATAAAGGGAGAAGCCCCACCCAGGATTATTCTTTATATTTTATTTATAAGCACACTTTAATGAAGAACTGACTTTTATAAAATCTTTTAGAGCACAAGCTACAGTAAGTAAAAGTGAGCATGTTTATACTAACAAGTTTCCTTCCCATTTAATGGGTAGTGTTTGGTGTCATTACTGAACTACAATGAACAAAATCTATTTATCTTACAGTATAGCAGGTTAAATTTTTATCTAGATAAAAACTTCTAATCTGGAAAGGACCTTAGGTCTTATTCCAATGGCTGCATGAGGAAGGATTGTTCTAGGGCCTGGTACGGTAGCCTAGTGGCTAAAGCCATCGCCTTGAATTCACCAGGATACCATATGGGTGCTGATTCTAATCCCGGCAGACCTACTTCCCACCCAGCTTCCTGCTTTTGGCCTAGGAAAGCAGTTGAGGATGATCCAAAGCCTTGGGACCCTGCACCCATGTGAGAGACCCGGAAGAGGCTCAAGGCTCCTGGCTTAGGATCAGCTCAGCTCTGGCCGGAAGATCTTCCTCTCTGTCTCTCCTCTTTTCTGTATCGGCCTTTTCAATAAAAATAAATCTTTTAAAAATACTATCAAATACTAAATTATATACCAGCCCAAAGAGTAATACACAGTGCAGTTCTTGTCCTTCTGCCTCTTATAAACTGGATGGAAAGAGCACATTCATAACAGTACAATAAAATAAGTATTATGTGAAGACTTCAAAGGTGACAGCAAACTGACAGTTACATGGAAGGGCAGAAAGGGAAGACATTCCTTGTAGGTGGGCAGCATGGCAAGGTGTGACTGTGGAAAAGAATAGGCCTTCTGAGTTTCAGAGAAGATGCTGAGGATGGCGGGTTTGGCAGGGACCAGGTTGCAAAGCACAACTTTTAAAAGACAAGTTGGAGACTCTGAACGTGATTATCTGTAAACAAGATTCTTGTAGAGCAGCTACACTGGGTTAGGACTAGGAGGAGCAAATAGAGCTCTAAGGGGAAAGTCTGAGTCAAGTTCCAGGCAGTGGAAAGGGAAGGAGAAGGATGCATGGAATGAGAACTTTGCAAAAACAAACAAACAAACAAACAACAACATTAGCCATGTATGAGAAGGACTGGAGGAAAAAAGCGAAGGTCCAGGAATGACTGCTAGCACGTAGACTCCAAAACCTGGCATGATATGGATCATAAATGAAAAGTCAAATAAAATTCTTACAGCTAAAAGGTCTCCTTGGAGAACTTTTTCTCCTTTCTAAACTTTCTATTTATTAATCTGGATTTGAGGAACCAAATATTTACATTCCCATAATACTGACTACACTTGTGACCAAGCGTCTATTATCCTTTTTATGGGTCTAGAACTTTCAATTTTTAATATTCTTTCATAAAGAAGCATTAAAGTTTTATTCTCAAAATGCCTCTTCCAAATATGTCATGAAGATTTCATCAGACTCATAAGTTGAGAAAACTCAGGAAAAAACTGGATTAATTGCCAGGGACAAGCAGCCAATAGAAAAGCTGGACTAGAACCTAGGTATAAGGATTCATAATTCAAGCCTCTCCCCACCCTCCTCATGTTTTTGTTAGTGATTGGCTAAAAATAGCAGCATACACCATTGGTGGTGAGCTTGTCAGAGTATAATAGCTGACCAGGAACTGAGAGGTGGAGTATCCCGGTCTGTCACATCTGCCTATTCCCATGGTGTAAATGCGCTCACCAGGCTTGATTTCATCCTAGCCATTGATGTTGTAAGCAATAATGATGATAATGATTTTTTAAAACCAGGATCTTTAAATAGAGTGACTAAAGTGGACAGAATTAAGAGAAAATTGAAGAAGTCCTTCATTTTTTTCTGCCAAAATGGCCGTTATGATCATGCTGTAGAAACCAAATGTTATATGGTTCTGTTACCATGAGACTTTGAGAGTTATGTTGTGTGAAAAAAAATCCAACTGAAACTTGATCATCTTGTTCCAAAAATCAGCACACAAGCACAAGGACAGCTCAGATTTGGCTAAATAAGATTAAGATTGATTTCCCAATTTTAATGTTCTTAAAGTAATCCAAATAAAATTTACTTCCCAGATTGCACTTATTATGTTACATTTGTGGTCTTTACTTGTGGTCCTTTCCCAGAACCGATTTTTCCTAGCTATAAAGAGCTCTTATAATTATTAAATGATTTGGAGTAATAAAGTACAGTAATAATAAGGGGGAAATTTTGGTGTGAAAGGACAAGTGAAATGATTTTTCCTCCTGAAAACAGTTATTCTATTGTAAATAAAACATGGATCTAGCTATTGATGTCTATGTTAACAAGATAAACCTTAGAATGCAGCTATGTGGATGTAAACCAGAAATCCTCAGAAATAAGATACAGAGGAACTTACGTGTGGATAGTTCATGAAGGGATACGGGCCATACCGCATCATCTGTAAGTAAAGGAATCTGTTAAAATGGCAGAAAGGGAACATGCTTGATTCAATCAACTCACAAATCATAAGTTTTATTCCTGGTTTTAAATCAAGTGGTTCTATGGTCTTTCACTAGTTATACACAAGTTTAAAATATGTATTCCTATCAAGACTTTTAAGGCATTTTAATTTTTAAAGTCAGATTTTAATCTTAAATTAGATTTTTATTTTGAGAAGAATTACTGTCCATATAAAAGATCCACTGTGAAATTTTTGAATACTCTGTTCATTTCGAGTTCTGGAATGGACACAGACAATTCGATTACAAGATGATTCTTCTTTCTGATTTGTTTGACTAATAACCCCCCAATATGCATTATGTGAAAGATATTTATATGCTTAAATATCTGCTTCTATAAATTCTTGGTATAGTGGTTACCTCTGATAGCTAAGAAAATTAGCAAAAAATCTAATGTTGACTAATTTAACGTATATCCACATTTACCTTGAAAATGAGCAAGAAGCACACGTATAGGACAACACCGGGGAATTATTACTTTGTTTTGAATTGGAGTTTAAGGCTTTCAGCTCTCCTCCCTTGTGTCTCCCATGAGAAACTTTACATAATAGAAAGTTTGCTGATATTCTGTTTTTAAATGAACTTCTAGAAAGAGACTCTAGAACACTCCTCCCCTGACCCTGAGCATACATACCTCCTCACTTTTACTGCTGTATCCAGGCATCCGGGGCATGTGCATCTGAAAGTGAGAGCGTATCAGTGACAAATGTAGAACAAGTGAAATGAGCTCAACACTTGTCCCCGAGTTATGCAATGACAGGACAGAAAGAGAAAGCCTACTATTTGAAAAATACTCACTGGCATAGCCATGGAATTACCAAGAACACCTAGCAAGACCAGCAGAATCTTCATTCTTCCACTCGGCACCTGAAACACAAATCTCAATTTTATTTTTGGACTGTGAAATAATTGTACTAGGACCCTCTGTCTTCATCTAGGTTTTTGTCTTGTGGAGGAGAGGACAGCAACTCACTGCAGCTTTAGTGCCTTGATGTTTATAAAGAGTTATGTAGTTACTACCTGATACTATTCCAAGTTGAACAAAGGATCAGATTTAAAAAAAGGTGGGGGGACAGTGATGCTGGAGATGCTAGTTCACATTGCAAGAATGTTGAAAACGGCAAATTATGAGGCTGCCAAAATCTAGGAGTATTTGTGGTTTTAAGTTTCTAACTGTTGCATTGGTTTAGGATGGCACATTTATGGTCAATTACATTCACTGTGTAGAGTAATCTCTGAATCCATGGATAAACTCTCTGAAATCAGAAATTCATACTGCTTTCTGAAATCTGGGCATCCATTCATAAAGCCTTTTCATAACTAAACAAATATTGCAGAATTTCACTTTTCCTTCTTTTATCTACAGTTTGTTAGCATTATTACTTTACCCTTTAAAAATCACTTTTGTACAAGGACTGATCAGGAAAATAGGAAGAAAGAGATCAGAAATGTGAGTTTCATCTACTTGTTAGATAAATAACAGATTGTAATTAGGAAAGCGATACAAAGAAGCTATTATAGAAAATGCTAATAAAAATTTTCCTTTCTAAATATTTCTAGGAAAAAAATAGAATAAGCATTTCTAGGAATATGGCTCAAGATTTTGGGCAACTTTGAGTTGTTTAATTTACTTCTTGCTTGCTCATCCCTTTCACCTCTACTGTGTGTATCAAAGATTCTTGATACGTTGCATGCTCAAGTAGGAAGATGTGGCCTTATTTGGCAAGTATAACATGCCATTCATTTTGTCACTTGCCATATTAATGTATTGTGTTGAATGACTTAAGCTCCTTCCCATCTCCACAAGTATGTGATTGGATGAAATGCATGACTGGAGGATTAAGGACAACACTTGTAAGAATCAGTAGGAAGTACAGTGACTGTGTAAGTTCTTCCCTCTTGTGTCTCACCTGTGAACACAGATCCCCTTCGTTTTTTCTGACTTTTTAAAATAGTGGTTTGTACTTTCAAGTGTCCTCCTAATGATATCTAGCTTAATGGCTAAATCTAGAGGGCAGACAGAAAGAAAGTACTTACCAAGTTATCTAGTTCAGGAAAAGGGACTCCATTCCTGTGTTGAAGCAGCAACATCTTTTCACCAGGATTTTCATAAGCCTTTAATGAAAAATATTTCATATGATGATAAACTCAAATATGAAAATGAAACACATGAAATAACTAGTAAAGCTTCAGCTGGAAGGTGGCACATATTGTACTAATTCCTTCATCTGCTCTCAAAATCAAGCTTAGTCTGTCATTTTGAGATTAGGGAAAAAAGTTAAAGGAGAAAGTGATACAATCACAGACACTTGTAGAGCGCAGTGTTGATGAAGATGGACTTCTCTGTCATGAGATGCATAAAAGCACCATTTTAAAAGAGGTATAAATAGGTTGGAAGAAAACTTTAAGAAAAGCAAATAAACCTAATAAACAGAAGAGGCTCAGGCTTTGTGCAAAGATTGGTCTGCAAGCCAATGATTATACCTTTGACATCAAGGAAGGCACTAAGGAAATCAACATCTACGAATTAAGTACATTATTTGGCATGATTTTACCCAGATTGATAATCCCATATACTCACCCAGTGCATTAGAAGCAGCAATATGTCAAAAATAATTTCTACTTGAACTTTGCTGGCCTGTCTTGGAAATGCATTCTTAACAGTCTGTTATGAAAATGACTAAACTGCTGAAGGTTGGGCAAGCTCAAGGAGAAACACACATTTATTTCTTAATAACAAAACAAAAATTCTTCATGGAGATAGTCATGTTCAGTACCCACAGGGCTTAAAATAAAAAGATCGCTCCTTGTCAGAAAGCTTGGCACAGCAAGGTCACATTTAAGCACTGTTGTAGATGTGCACAACCAATCAGGTGTAAGAAAAATGATTCTGCCGTCACAAGAATTTAAGCTTAAAAAACACATCCAGTGTAAAATTTATAGTGTGTTATTATAGAAACAGTCAAATCAAGTCTCTCATTATGTATAATAATAGTCCAGGAAAATGAGCTTACAGCAGTAAGATTTAGGAGATGCTTTGCTTAGTGAATTTGAGTTTTGAAGCACAGAAACTCTGTTTATGCAGAGATGAATCAAGGTAAATATTAACTATCTGTTATTGCCATAAATCACTGGCCATCATGAAAAGGTAGACATCGATATATCTAATTTAATATATTTAATATGTAATTAAAAAGAGCTGAAAAACAAAACAAAACAAAAAAGATGAGCTAAAAAGCAGTCTCTATGGACAACTCAGTGACTTCATTTGATCTGAATTATGTAAAGCTGTTGGGGCGTAATATTCTTTTATGCTTTCTCCTTTGGAAATGATTTTCTGAATAAAAATACAAGTTAATTCAGTTTGACAAGCCTCAAAGGCCTATGTTCTCTTGTCACTCCTTACCTTTGAAAAGCTAAATAAGGGAAAAGCAAATCAAAAGTGCTCCCCGCCATGCCTGTTGTTATGATTCTTGAATAGAGGCCATCAGAAGCCCCTCTAAGCAGCTATTTTTCCCATTGTCCACACAAGGCTCACCCTTTGCGGGGAGGATGTGTGAGTTCAGCGAGCTGCATCAGTAGGTGGAGGTTGTGAGGGATTACAGTAGAGTCAGGAAGGGGCAGTGGAGCGTGGATGGCCTCAGCAGACTGCACGACTGTCTCTCAGCTTGAGCAGTGAGAGAGTATGGGTGTGTAAAAGGCACACTGATCCAACAGCAGGCTTCATTTTGGATTTTGGGGGGCTTGGCAAGAGGAGTAAATTCCAAATGCTGCCCTTTTCTTTCTTGGCTCGACTGGACTGGTTCTGCTGTTGGGCCAGACGATTCTGTGCCTTAGTGTTGTCTTGAACTTACATATAGTTTAGTTCTTAGAGGTTTGAGAATTTAGAAGAACTGGGTAAGATGGAAAATGAAGTCTCAGCTGGTCATGATAGCACAGCCTCAGAAAAACAGGAACTGAGAAATCCACTCAGGGGGTTATCTTCTGCACTTCTTTTTAGAGATGTGACTTCATAGCTGACATTTTACTTCTGAATAAATATCGCCAATGTATTTTTCACAGACTAGGCAAAATTTGCTCTTTATTGATCTCCTGGGCTTCACAGTAGAAAACATTTGTAGTGATGATGCCTGCTTATTTTAATGTTGGCACTGAGAAGCTAAGAATGATCAATTTTAATGCCAAAGTCCAGCTCCTGCTGCAACCAAGTGGAGGATTTGAGCAAGAGAAGGACCCAGGAACATGGCAGAAGATCTGAAACCATTTATTCCCTTGAACTTACTTTCTTCAGCGCATGCTCCGTTTCTCCTCCTTCCAATGACTGGGATCCTCGTGTTGCTCTAGAATTTATGCTACCAAGAGCATGAAAGAAAGATGATGAGATTTAGAGTTGTCAGATTTGAATTTAAAGCTTCTACAAACCATCAGATTGTTCGATTTTTCTGTTTGGTAATATAGGAGTACTCTTTCCTGCCCTGCAGATTTCTTCTAAGAAATGAATGTGTGTAGAGTGCCCGGCACTGGGGCATTCAGTCAGCAGGTAAGGCACTGCCTGGGAAGTACACATCCCATGTCAGTGTGTTTGGCATTGTCCATGTTATGCTTACAGCAGTATCTGACTATGTGCTCTGTGTGGATAAGGTGTTTTTCTGTTCTTCATATTTTGGATCAACTGGTTATAATATTACCTCATCACAGAAATGATATCTTTGACCACTTTTCTTAAAACTTTGCTGTAGTTCTTGGGCCTGGCGCGGTGGTGCAAGTGGTTAAGGTCCTCGCCTTGCACGCCCAGGATCCCATATGGGCGCCGGTTCTAATCCCGGCAGCCCCGCTTCCCATCCAGCTCCCTGCCTGTGGCCCGGGAAAGCAGTCGAGGACGGCCCAAAGCTTTGGGACCCTGCACCCGCGTGGGAGACCCGGAAGAGGCTCCTGGCTTCGGATTGGCATAGCATCGGCCGTTGCGCTCACTTGAGGGAGTGAATCATCGGACGGAAGACCTTCCTCTCTGTCTCTCATCTCTGTATATCCGCCTTTCCGATAAAAATAAATAATAAAAATAAATCTTTAAAAAAAAAGGGCCCGGCGCGGTGGCGCAAGTGGTTAAAGTCCTCGCCTTGCACGCCCGGGATCCCATATGGGCGCCGGTTCTAATCCCGGCAGCCCCGCTTCCCTTCCAGCTCCCTGCCTGTGGCCTGGGAAAGCAGTCGAGGACGGCCCAAAGCTTTGGGACCCTGCACCCGCGTGGGAGACCCGGAAGAGGCTCCTGGCTTCGGATCGGCATAGTATCGGCCCGTTGCGCTCACTTGGGGAGTGAATCATCGGACGGAAGATCTTCCTCTCTGTCTCTCCTCTCTGTATATCCGCCTTCCCAATGAAAAAATAATAAAAATAAATCTTTAAAAAAAAAATAAAAAAAAAAAAAAAAAAAAAAAGAAGAAGCAACATAGTTACTCTCTGATAGTGAAACCGCCTTGGAATATATAGCAACAAGTTCATTTGGGATGTCGTAGGCCCAGTGCTAAATACTTTAGATGCTCCCTTAATATTCACAAAATCTTATAAGATGAACACTAAGTTTCACCACATATTTTTGTTGAAAATGGAATTAAAAAAGATTTATTAATTTTTATTGGGAAGTCAGATATACAGAGAGGAGGAGAGACAGAGAGGAAGATCTTCTGTCCACTGATTCACTCCCCAAGTGGCCGCAATGTCTGGAGCTGAGCCGATCTGAAGCCAGGAGCCTGGAGACTCTTCCAGGTCTCCCACATGGGTGCAGGGTCCGAAGACTTTGGGTCATTCTTGACTGCTTTCCCAGGCCACAAGCAGGGAGCTGCATGGGAAGTGGGTCTGCCAGGATTAGAACAGGCACCCATATGGGACCCTGGCATGTTCAAGGTGAGGACGTTAGCCGTTAGGTTACTGCACCAGATCCGAAAAGTGGGATCTTAATGAAGTTCGACAATTTGACCAAGACTAAGTGGTAGACTCCATTTCTACCTGCAGTCAGCCATTTCACTGAATGTGGTGTTTACATATATAGTATATTTGTTTTAATTAGTGATGTCAGATGTCAAAACCAGTATTCTAGAAAGGTCTTCATAAAAATGGAGTGGGATATAAATATTAATGAAAGGGGTTTATGAAGCTTTAATTTCAATGACTAACATGAATTATGCTTTTTTAAAAGTCTGATTACATAGAAAATAAAAAATGCTCTGTTTGTATTGGGAATGTAGTGCTTGTTGGATGGGATGAATCAACCTTTAAATAAACAGTTAGAGCAGACTAGATAATTGAGTAAGCCAAAGCTATTACATCATTTCTTACCAGACACCATCTAATCATTTTTCCAAAACTGTTAGCACCTGCACGGACACATCTGTATTCAAGAGATGCACACGTTTCAAACCCCTTCTCCAATAAGTCTGTGTGTAATGTTCTGCTTGGGACTCCTTCCTACTAGTCCCCTCTTCAAGTCACCCACTTGTTTTCAAGGAGTGGATGTGAGATTCATGTGTCCTTGGAATTCAAGGTTTCTTGTTTCAGATATATTGGCTTCTTCACACTCTTCCGAACAGTGTGTATGTAGCACATGGGGTAACTGAGGCTCCAGGTGGTTAGGCAACAAACCTGGGTTCAGGATCCATGGAGTCAGGGGTTTGCACCAAGGGCTGTTTTCTTCCACGTCCACTTATCATTATACCTCTTTGTAAAGTAGCTGGTAAAGATTGGGTTTTTAAACAAATGGACACCTTTTTTCCCCTCAATGCTTTTAAAAAAAAAGGCTTTTATTATAGAGTTTCCTTTACTGTAAGTCTTCTGAAGAGGGAGAAGAATTTAAAAGTTATCTTGTATACCTTTGGTATTTGGGGAGTAGTTTCTGAATGAGGAGAAAATTGCACTATGAAGGAGGAGAGCTTTTCCATGCCACCAAATCTAGAGTTGGATGGGAACCTCAAAGATCATTGAGGAGCCCACTGCTGTCCTTCCAGTTCCATAGACTCATAGCTTGGTGTCATCCTTGAATACTTACTTGTGTCATCACCAGGCAACCTGTCAGCCCCACCTTCAACATGAATCTGGAA